CACCTCTAGCGCCGCGTAACTCATTCGCACAAACCGGTGACTGCCACTATGTCCTATTTGGAATGTTTGAGAAAGAGGATGGGTCCAGATGTACCGGCCGTATGGCGGAAGTCAAGGATGTCCTCCCCGGTAGCTCATGAACAGCTGTTTAAGAGTTAAGTGCGAGGTAATGATACACCCCTCCTAGGGAAGTAGAGTCACGTGGGCAAGACAGCCCCAGCGCAAACCAGGCTTGGGATTTTACCTCCCTCAGCAACCCCTGGCCTGACGACACCACTTGGTGGCTGGCCGCGGACCCACCCAACCCCAAGACCTGGACTTCAACAACCTCTGAAGAACTACCATCTGTCCATAACCAATCCTGTATATTCCACTTCCTCCCATGTTGTATCCTTTTCCTGTAAAGGGCATGCTGTATAATAAATGGTCATTGAACAAAAAAAAGGTTCGGGGAGCTTTGGACCGCGTCAACCAACCAAAGAAAAAGAGGTACTTTACCCTCTCGCCTTTGTGCTCGACCATCGTCCACCCCGTCGGACTGCAATCGCTAATAGAGGAGACGAGCTTCAATACCCTCTACTCCCTCATGCCGAATCACAGTTCAAGCAGTTGACATGCCCCGGCTTGGGTATTGCCCCTGTTCCCCATTGGTTTGTATCATTCGCGTCGGCCTCTCCCCTTTCGGGTCTTGGGAAAAGGATTCTGCAATTGGATTGGGTTCTGTGCACGGCTTGCCCGGACTGGTCTAGAAATGAGATTGTATTGTCTTGCTCCGGCCTGCTAAGGAAATTGTCTTTGTTGTGGCTAGAGGAAGAAATCACATTAAAGGGAGAAATTGAAGTGTTCGACTCAGGTGTCCGAGTTTTCGTTGGGTTCGCTCCGCTCCTAAGGCCTCCTTTACGGCCACAGCTACCACAAGTGTCGGCATCCGGTCCGCGGACTGGAGGACGGACCTCGCCCGTACCCCGCACGACGCCGGATTCAGTATTCCGGGCGGGTACCTGACGAGATAGGCCGTCAAGACCGTCACAATATCAATAACAAGACTTTTACTTCATTTTGGGTCCTGCAAGTCATTTCAATATTAAATCAATTTTAAATCAATTTTATTTTAAAATAGATACAGAAAACCATGTCACCAGCACACTCCGGTTTGCTGATGATCTATTGCTACCATGGGGCAACCTGTCTCTGTCACCATCTGGGACTGCCAAAAGGGAAGATGGTCAAATGCACTCCTGATTCCTGGACCCCTGATCAGCTGCACCATTCAAGAGTGAACACATCTCATTTGGATTTTGGCCCTGATCCCAATACTTGTAGCAGTTATCAACAGAGGCATATACTTGACTCTCAGAGCCTGAGAACTCTATGTGACAGGTCATAATTGCACAAATTTCAAGCTTTGAGAAACTGGAGTTTTTGGAATATCCCCGCAGTGAAGCAAATCACCTAAGCAAACAAACAAAAATTGCAGCTGCAAACATTCAAAATGGGCCAGTATAAAGTAAGTTATGCCTAGGTCTACATTATCATTGCCTGCAGAAAGAACAAAAACACTTATACAAGGTTCAAGCTTAGACCTATGAGCAGACCTGACAACGGTTGACTCCAATGGTTTTATTTTAAAAACTAATTTTTTTGCGTCTAAAACCTGCTTCTCGAAAACCCTGAAATTTTAATTTTTTTATTTTTCCCGGCCAGCCAGGAAAAACTGACTTTCATAAGCCCAACAAGACGATCTATGAATGAACAGCAGGACGAGGCGAGCCTCTATTGGGCATGACAGCCTATCCCCATAGTAAAACCGAAACACTTTGATAGGCTACCCGGGCAGCATTTCAAATGAACCGGAACAGGACAGATGAGTGGATTTGAGCGTCTTCGAATTCATCGGAAGCGGTGACAGACTAGTCTATCATGCACACTTCACACTCACGCCTTTTACGAAAAAATTTTCACCCATCTCGAATATGCTAACCTCCGAGAAATTCACGTTTTAGGGTAAAAAAAAAAAGCTGTCTTGTGGGGCAAAAGTTCCAGTCACATCGTTCTCCTGCTTTCGAATATAATGTAATGCATACACTGTTTCTGGATTGAATTCGCATACCACCTGCCGGGGGAGAACGAAGGAGACAATTCAGATTGTTGGTGCCATCAAGATGAAATAATTGCCGCCATTTTGGTAAAATTAGGCTTGATAGTTTTTTGTAAAGGTCTGTCCAGTTGCCAATACAAGATCTCCTGACCACCGATACTGAAATGGACGGAACTTCATATATGAAGGCCATGCATTATGAAGGGGGTGTTCCAGATTTGGATTATATGATTGTGTATGAAGGGGAGATAGGGGCCGTGGAAATATGTACTAGACTGTACATATCTTAATATTAGGAAATACTGTGCCTTGAAATTCATTCGATTTTGTAATTACTGTAAACAGGACATCCATGTTTGCAAACCCATTGCATAAATGCTTATTCTCTTGAGCATTACTGTCTGCCTGCAGCGGTTTTGTTAAATCCTGGGAGGCATTGAAACGGTTAAAAAAAAAATGTTATCAAATGCGTAGTTTATTAATGAGTCTCATGACAAAACATTCGAGGCCTGCAATCAACACAGCAAACATTTTGATTCAACGTTGAATCAACATTGAATGAACATTCGGAACGTTGATACAACGTTGGTGCAACGTAGCCTTGTCTGTTGGGAAGTACGTGGCGTAATGATGCAATATAAGAAATTCCAGCAAGATCCGACATTTTCCAGCATACTCTCCAACTAGCATTTCCTGTTGGATCCCGTTGGAATTTTCCTTCTGGTTAGATAGAATATTCCCGCTAGAAATTTAAAGCTGGCGAAGTCCAGCTGGATTTAGTTCAGTTTCCAGACTGTCTTTTTCCCGCTGGAGAAATCCCGAACAGTCTACATACATCCAACCACTACATCCAGCAGGAATTTTTTCCTGGGAAGTCAGTTTCTGAAAAATTTTCCATGATGTTCCGTGAAAAAATCTCCAAAGAGCCTCGCTTATTCAAGGAATTCACAGAAGATAAAACGTGAATGTGTTCCCGAAGGTTAAGCAAATTATTTACAGTTGGATGTCATTCGAGCCAAAAAATGTAAGAAATTTTCGCCGGGAAAGTTTCCAGAATTTTCCCGGAATAATTTTGACTCGTTCTGGAAGAACATACGCCGGGAGGATCTGCGAGAAAGCAGGGAACGCGAGGCTCATGATTGCCTGAGATTAATTCCCAGAGGTAAACACTGAAGTTCGTCAACGCTCATTGTCCCAAGGAGCCCCCCCCCCCCCCCGAAATGAGAAGAGTTTAACTCCGCATCATTCAGACGGAATTTGGTGCGTTTGTTTTTGCGTCTTCGGCTTCTCGTTTGAAATTTGTTTCAGCCCATGAATACATTTTTAAAAAAATTTATTTTCAAATTTCTTAATACAGTATTTCTTCCTTGACGATAGGTCTCGAGGAGGAAGAGAGGCCCATAACTAGAATTTGCCCTTTTTCGGGTCCGTAAAGAGCAACTCGAACAACTGAAGGAAGCGAAGATTCTTTGCAAGAGACATCGCTGAAAAAAGGGAAAGGTAGGCCGTGATGAATCCTTCCTTTCACCTCACCCCGTCCAATTCGTCAGAATTTTTCTTCTTCAAATCTTGGCTTTTCATCAATCAGAATGTTCACTCGTTTCAAATGAACCAATAGAGAAACTTGGTTAATTTTTTAGGCATTGAAGCCATCAGAACTTGCATTTCGGCTTCGCGATTCGTATCTGAAACGTAATGCGAGAGCGACTTCCACAGATCTCAACCCAATTATATGCGAACGATATCCAATCTGAGGGCATCTTCGACTCGGTCACATGAAGCTAATCTAGTTAACCTGCAAATCCCAAGATATCCGAATTTGATCACCGATTTTTTTTCGCTACTGCAATCGATTTGCATGGGGAATTTCAAGGATTTCGACTGAATGTAGCCAAGAGACAGGAAGACACCCCATTTTTCCTCATAAAATTTACGGAGATATACCTAAGACGCGCGAACCCTCGCAGGACAGTAAGGATTGTCTTGAAATTCGCGAAGTACATACTTCGATCTCGGAAAGAGCCTTCAACTCCCGCATTTCACAGCAGAATTGTTCGTGCTATCTCTCTCGTCGTGTTAGCAGGTAGGCTTATTTAAGGGGGTGGTTAGATCCGGCGCCAGCTCGAACAGGGCACAGAATGAATCATCCGCCGCCTGAGGATTGACGAACGAATGGCACGACGTCGTACCGAAGCTCGCGTGACTATTGTTTTGATCGGTGGATCGTTGCGTCGCTATCGCGTTCCTGATCGGTGGAGCTTTGCGTCGCGTTCCCGAAAGGCTGGAGAAGCCCCCTCCACGTCTTGGACGCCTTCTTCACGCTGCACGTTCTTGCATCCTTTGCTGTCCCCTCGAGAACGGGTGTCTTAAGCTCCCTAATTGCTATTCGTGGACGTTAGTGCATTTCGACAAACTTGCATTTTTCAAAGGAATCATCCGTAAGAGCACAAAATCGGTAGTCTCCATCTGTGCCAAAGGGAGCTAGAGCGAGGCTTTCAAGCCTGAGATGAAGAATTGAGTGGATATCTCGATCTGATTCCGTCCAGATCCCTCTATCGTCGAGGCTTTAACCATTTAAGCTAGCGCTTAAACAATACTTATTAAGGAAACGTTCTAGGAAATGTCAGCCAAAAAAGGTTCCGGAATTTTCCAGAAAAACGCTTTGGAATCCATCACACTAGTATGCAGACACGATTCCCCAGATATCACCTGAGAAATAGGGAGTCGATATTTTAACAGTGTGGGAAAACTAAAGCGAAACGAGGACGGTGTTGGCAACATTCCCTATGAAACATTGCACAAAAAGGAAAAGTTGAACTTCCAGGATAAGACTGAAAGTCAGAAACTCTTCGAGTGTTCGTCCGCGATCTGGGGCTGACGCGACCCTGACGCCATCCTCCTACCGTCCTTTGAGGAGGAATGAAGAAGAAACTCGGAGTCCTCCCTTCTCCATCCTCCATTTCGATTTCCATCCGGAGATGAGGGGATCTTCTCGTGACGACTACATTAGTTCATCCAAAGCTCTCAAGTTTGCATTCTAGAGGGCACACACTAGCGATATTACATTTTGAATGAACTACGAAGAAACCGATTTGGAGAAATGAAGCAGCGAGTCTTTCGGTTCTTCCCGGCGGTCAGCCTTTCGATAGCTCCAGTATTACTCTAACGGTACGGGCTAAAGTAAAAAATGCTAACGCTTGGACATGGGCAGCGCTAAGCAAAATACAAGTGCTTGAGTATTTAAATACAAAATACATGTATTTTAAAATATAATTGAAAATACAAAATATAAAAATTTTAAGGTTTACTTTGTGGCTTTCAGATTTTGTCCAAAATCAGGAAATCTTCAGTAGTTCTGTCCATTGGCCTTAACAGCACATAGCCAGAGCATGACGTTCTTCCTGTTTTCCTTTCTGAATCCCAGACTGCTCCCCCTTATACCATTCGTAATCAAGATCTGAAAGTAGTCTGAAAGCAAGGAACAGAAATATTAACCTGCATTGGCAAGGTTCAGGCTTGTTGCTTGCACAAGGCATAGGTCTAAGGATGGCCAATATATCACAAATTAAAAACCTTGCTTGGGCCAAGAACAAGGTTAGCATATTCACACCAAAATATATTACAACACAATCAACCTTCAAATGTATGAAGAAGTCATATGTTGCAGCTAGAGTTCCACTAATCACTTTCTCTGTAGGTCATGCAGCACATTTGACCTTGACCCTCTACACCCCTCTCCTTCAACAATGCTGAAGAAGTTCCCATCCAATAAAGAAGGCAAGTCTTCTGAGCTAGCCAAGTTTGAAGTTGCACTGAACCAATTAAAGAGTATTTTATATTTTGTCAAATGTGTTTCAAAATAAATTTTTGCAGAGAATTGTATGACAAATATAAAAAACTAATACATATTGTGATATGAATCTAAATACCAAATAACTGAAATGTATAGAAATATGTATTTCAAACACTATTTTAAATACTGTCCACCTCTGGACATGGGCTATTCTAAATTGAGCAGCGGAAAAAAACCAGCTTCCCACATTGTCTCCAAGTGAAAGGGATTGGGATGCATCCGATCCAGGAAAACCTTGAATATATTTTTTTCACATGTTTCATCTTTGAAGTCAAGGTGAAAGGATAATTTTGAGTAGAACTTAAGCACTTTGCAGCCAGCTCTTGATTCCCTCCCCTAACTGCAGGAAGCTTTGAGTCCTTTCTGTCTCCCTGGCATTTCGATTGCAAACCCATTGCATTAATCTTTGAGCCCTGGAATTGACGTTGATCCCAGTGCAGAACAGCGAAATTGTGCTCTTTTCTCGTCATGTCCTCCATGCAGAGATTTGGGATTAATCTTTCTGCCCTTTTGTGAAGAGGCCAGAGAGCCTTGGGAAATTGTCTTCAATATGACACTCTTTGGAAAACAGGTGGTGCTACTCTTGCACCATCTTCGACTCAATACCACCACAGCACACAATAGAACAACATCACTAGCTGCTTTGGCGGCCAGCAGGCCTACATCTGTTAACACGTTGGCGACAATGCGTCCTGATGCCAGGATGCAGATTTTTTTTCANTGTCCGGCACAAGATAGTGTGGTCGCACCTCCATCTCCACTTGGCGGGATAAGGATGTCTCCTTGCGAAGGACGGCCTGAAGGTGCTTGCGCTTGCGCGCTGCCCTTCGCTGCTCCCGCTCAAGCCTTGTCTTCTGAACGAAAAGCATGTCATTCAGAGAAGAAAGATCACATTTTCTTTCTTTCATAGTCAAATCTCTCACTTCTTTGTCACAATTGCCAAAAAAAACACCAACAATGAGGAAAAATATACAAAACGAAAATGGACAGCCACTGCATCGTTTCACCTTGTCTGGAAACCTGCACAGGCAGAAAAATAACCCAATATTTCATTTTACATCAAGGGAGGTCTACATCTAGACATGGAAAAAATAAAAAAGGGAAAAAAAGGTGAAATGCTAAGCTGACAAAACAGTAACCTCCAATTATGCTTCAATGAAAGCTGCTTCATATAAAAATAAGAATCACACTGAATATGTAAATGGAGACAAAGAGCAGACTGGCACAACACTTTTAATTCAGGTACAATGCTCAAAACATGCTTTGGAACAACAACCCTGATACTAAATCTGGCAGTGGTGCCTTAATCCCTTTCATTCCATTCATCAAAAGTTTCATTTGGAACAGGTGACTAAGAATTTTCCAAGCCTTACAAATTAAATTTTAATTAATAATGGCTTTCAACTTTACCACAGCAATGCAGCCATTCTAATGATCTGCTTACAATGTGCCAGTTGTTTCTCTGAATACATTTAAAGCAGACCAAAGAAAGAGAACTTTGTGCTTTTTGAAAACTGAAGAGTCAGGGAACTTAAAAAATTATTTTCCTAGCTACTTAAGCCTTGTCAAAGTCACAAAACCAAATGAAATACTTCCCCCATTCTTAAAAAATATTTAGGGCATGAAAGGATGAAAAATATTCCAAAGATGTACCACACACCACTTCATGCAGCATACAAATTGTAGCAACTATCTGTTACACATCTAAAAATCATCACAAATGACACAATAGCAATGAATCTGGACTGGCTCAAGTTCAGTGGGACATACCAGCCCAGCGAAGGAAGTCAAGGAGATCGCGGACAGGAACGTGGCATGTGAGTGCTTTCACACGCAGGTTACGATCCTGCGTCAGGAGCACTGTGTCCCGTTTCAGGACCCCATCCACTTGCCTGTCATCCTTACACAGCTGAAGGCAGCAACTCAGGATCCGATCATCATTGCATGACTCCTGCAACATACCCCAAACTGTTCTTTCAACATAGTGGAAATATGATTGGGTTCAAAATTCAATTTGGAATGTTAATCTACCAGGTCAAGAATCAATTGAACAGTGTTATGAAGAGTTCAGAGGCAATTGCAATGTAACCCAAAATACTCAATATTTCAGATATGAGTAGGATATACCAAAACGGTATAAATTATGAGATTAAAATCTGGAAAGAGAGCAGAGCCATGACACAAGCTAGTCAAGCAACTAGTGCCCAAACTTCAAAAAGCATTTTTTGTGAATTGGAATACATTTATGTATATTTCTAACATTTCCTCATGATTAAATGTACCCCCTATGCTTAACTTAAAAGTGAGTTGCATGATGAACCAGAGAGTTCCAAGTCCCAGTCACCACTGGAAGGGGGCAGAGAATTATTCACATTTAATCTGTTTGCTTTAAGTCCTACTTTCTGTTTTGGGTCATTCTTGAGCTTAACCAGTTAGGAGGCATGCATCAGTGATGAGGCCAACCAAAAGTGTGAAAATTCATGACCAGTTTATGATGTCATGAATTTTCACATTTTGGTTGAACCAAACTTCCAAAAAATTGAGCTCTTGATTGAGATGTACAATCAGGAATGAAATTGGAGCTGGGGAAAGTCAATTATACAGTCCCTTCACTGATTGGGTGGTTGGGTATTGTCCAATGCCTTCACCCAATGTGAGTGATACATGTTGAAGGTGTAAGAACAATGTTTAAATTGTGATGAGGTTCATGAAGCAAGCACAAGCAATCTTCTCTCCGAGTGAGAAATTTTTTATGCAAAAAAAAAACACATGCCTCAAAGGTATGATCAATGAGATGCCATTTGTATACACAGTAGTGTAGCTACAGATGGATGCATAAAATGGTGAGATATAGCACAATGATCAGCTCTCAAATGACAAGCAAAGATTCTTACCTAACAGTTAATGTGCTATGTTATTACTGAAATTGGATTCAACCCAGAGGCAACATAAAGAACTTAGTGCTTTGCAACTGCCTTCATACCAGCACCTGCTTTGTAAATTAACATATTTGCATTGTCCCCAATCAGGCATGAGTTTCTTCCCAAGTAATGCTTTCCCTCAATTTTGTAAAACTATACAGTTTTTATGCCAGAGTGCTTTAAACCCTGCAAGTGGCTTTACAATCACCTTGTACATTCTCCAAAAAGGTCTTGTTGTGAACAAATATATACTGCTGGCAGCAGTAATTGGACATAATGTTTGGCTGTTTGGGGATGAAAACATCAATTTATAACATTTTTAATTGAATAAATCAGCCAATATCTTAGCAAATACTCATTATATTGATATGGGACACTCACTAATAGATTCATCGTAGTTAATTTAGTCTGGATTCAAAAGAATATATTCAATGCAAAAATATTTTAAATTGCTGCCTGTGCCCTTGGCTGATCAGTTGAGGGGAATGAAACAAAAGCCTCATGTTAACTCATGATGTTCTGAGGTACAAGCATGCATCCAAGCTAACAGGAGGAGCCTGTAGGAAATTACAGCTTAGGATGGAGAGAGATATAATAGGTAGGAGCCTCCTGGTTAAGCATTACATGGCTGCCAAATTCCTTAATTTAAACCTACCTAATCTTAGAAAGCTTCAGTGTTAACATTTCTGGGAAAGAACATATGGCATGACAGTTTTAATGGATCTCAGGTCGAAAAAGGCATTGCAGAGAAAGTAAACTCTTATTAGGCTAGGCTTCATAAATTTCTCAACAAAAAAAAAAGATAATAAAGAAACAAGTACATACCTCAACATCAACCTCCGTGGCAATGTTGGCAGAGGTGAGCTTCGTGCCTTGGGACGTGAGAAACCTCACCTTGGAGCGAAGGGACTGTGGAACATTCCTGAGAAACGAAGTCAATGCCTTGCTTGCCTGTTGCCCAACTTGACCTTCGCCCCGTGACAGACCCTCCAACTCATTCACAACAACCAGAGGGACAACAAGGACATAATGTGGGGATGCAGCCAGCATTAGGAGTGCTTCTAGGTGGTCAATGAAGCAGTTGGTGTCCGGCACAAGATAGTGTGGTCGCACCTCCATCTCCACTTGGCGGGATAAGGATGTCTCCTTGCGAAGGACGGCCTGAAGGTGCTTGCGCTTGCGCGCTGCCCTTCGCTGCTCCCGCTCAAGCCTTGTCTTCTGAACGAAAAGCTCAGCCACATCCTTGCTCCAGTGAACAAGACTCTTTCTCAGCTGCTCTTCCTCCTCCAGATCATCTCCAGAGGAGGATCCCCAGGCTTCCTCCTTCTCTTCCTCTCCCCGTTCTGTTCCCCCTTGTCCTTCTTGACCCTATCATGAATACATGAACCACACCAATCTTCATCAAAAGCAACAGCACCTAGCACATTATATCTCAAAACTATGCTTTTCCCTCACATATGGTATACCAATGCATGCATTCTTTTCACAATTTCACTAGCAGGCCTCTCCACATTTGAAAGCATATGAAATGAAATATATATTGGGCTTTGTGGATGAACTTGTGCATGGAGATGTAGGTGAAAACTGGTTAAAACATCAACTATACATTTAGTTCTTCAGAGGGAAGTACAGTTTTCTGCAAATGGCTCCCATTGACATCACTAAATTTGACTTTGAACAAAGCATGATGTGTCACCATGCAGAGCAGAATCATTCTCCATCATTTCTATGAAGAAACAGAAGAGACTAACAGCAAATGAGTCTTCTGTATCAGGTAGAGCAGAGACCACAGATACAAAGAGATGAGTGCTGGGGTCAAATTGAAGGAGTGGGGGATCAAGGCCAGCAAGGAAATCTCGACACATGAGGATCTTGGAGTGACGGAACTGGGTGGCAGCAGCAGTGGCATCAGCTGATGAGGGAATGTAACACACCTCACCCCATGCCACTGTCAGTGGGAGGAACCCGTACATCATTGTGTCCTCCAGTAGGTACACCAGCTGATCATCTGGATTGAAAAAGATATCATCAATGCCAAGTTCTCCTATGAGAAAGTTCTTATTGGTGCAAAGTTCTCCTACTCCCAAAAGTCTACATGATGCATGCATGAATAAAGGTGACACAAATTCAAATAACTGTTCAACCAGTTTCATGCACCTTCAAAATAAGGGAACCAAAATGAATTTAATACCTTTCTTGAGACAAGAAATATAGTTACAGACCTGAATCTGGTATCTGTACTTCATGACTGATCTTAGACATTCTTAAGCATAAAGCTTACTTTTTGTTGACTGGTAATAGAGCATGCCTAAATTATATGGAACTTGGAGAATAGACTAACATTATCCATTTGGTTATGAAAAACAGAAATCACCACAAGGGGAAATGTATCACTTCATTGTTGATGGTATCACCTCAAGATGTTTTCATATGAATTACAAGATTTCTTCTATTATGCAACATCACTAGAGCCAGCCCATTCTTCAAGTGAAGCAAACTATAGAACCATTTTCCTATAATGTCTCTCCTTTCTCTCAAAGTCTGCAAATTGGACTGCATGGATAGATGACCCTCAGCCTTTCCAACCAGTAAGAGATTTCCATTTCCTTTTCTGTATTTGCATGAGGATGTTCAACCTGCCTAAGGAATGCATGCATTATAGGGATTGCTTTAGACAGAATTCCTCACTTCCATAAACACTTCTTGAGTCTTCCACCAAACAATTATTTCCAAATTTCTCCTCTCGTCAGTACCACACATGGAGGTAGAGAGGGAAAGCTTTCAGGAAGATGGTGAAGGTGCTGAATGGGTCATCTGGCATAACTGCATCATGGACTTACCTTGAGCTTGCTTCTGCTCTGATAGCAGGATGGTGAAGGGGAAGCTGGACAGGATGTTAATGAGATCTGCCAAGTAAGACCATACGTCCCGCTCCCTAAAAAATGTAAAAAAAAGCATGGACTTGCTTATTGGCTGGGAGTTTAGAATAAAGGAGTCAAGGGATTCACACACAGCCACAAATTTCTACTATAGAGCTATGGATTTTTCAAATATAAAGTCTGGTTTTAAAAAAAATTTACAGCTCAATACCAGAAATATATGCATGAATATTTGCCAATGTCTGTGTTCTTTTGATTCTCATATATATGAATATGGAACTTTTTAGAATGAAAACTGATTCCTCCATGAAGTCATTGGTGGCAAGATTATGCAATTATTTTATGCACAATTATGAACTGATAAGTGTAGTATTGAAGCAAGGAATCAATTTTTAATATTTTACATTTCATGACAAAATTTATGGCCAATATTGAACAATAGTGAAAACAGGAAAACCAAAGAGAAGGGAGCTCACGTGACTCGCAGGTCAGTGAGTGTAGGAGGTGGGTTCCAGATGTCAGCATGGGAGAGCAGCCAGTCAATCCACACCTGGATATATAATTAAAAAAAGCTTTTCCAATTCACCTGTGCCATCCAATATTGTCTGACCAAGAACAAATGGTGGATGCATCCAATACGTACCTTAATTCCCGGGAGAAGAATCGAGAGGTCTTCATGGTCAATGTTCTCCTTGAACAACATGACTGTGCGCCTGACAATGATGGCCATGAACTCCAGGGCAACCAGGATGGCCTGCTCCTGAGCCAGAGGGCGATATCCCTCTCCACTCATCCCTGATGCAGAGCCTGGTACCATCATACAATCATTATGTTTGATGACATATTTCAGGCAAGGTAATGTGCAATTGATAAATATGGCCTAAAAATAAACTTCACTACCCTGTGATCCACCATGATCGTTCTTACACATCTTGAATTGTCGACATCATGGAAATGAAATAACAAATGACTCTAGCTCAAAGAAAAATAATTACAGCATACAGGGTAGCCCAAAAAAAAATCCCAAAGTGTGTCTGCAGATTTACAAACATTTAATTGCTTTTTTTTTTTACCAAAATGGGAAAAATGTGCAAACTAAAGGAAAACACATATGAGGTCTGGCAATAAAGTTCCAGGACTGATTTTTTTGTGAGTCTGTCAATATCACAAAAATTATTTTCATTCCATGGACTGATAGATTAGTCTGTTGGACAGTGTTGTGTCAGCCCTCATCTGACTAGCATTTTGAATGATAATTTGGCTGGCAATTTAACAACTCAGTGCGTAAAGGCATCTGTAATATTCCAAGAGTGAAGCAATGCTTCATCACATTTTGTCTCAATCCTGGAATACAGCTGCAGCGATCCATCAAATGTTGCAAGAAGTGTCTTGACAAGAAGTGTCCATTAGAATTTGTCCCACTTGTACCCAAAAACTTCATCATATTTTAAAGGAAAGATTTCCCATGCAGAAATTGCTGAGGACAAATTATGAGAAAATGGAGAGAATGGTCTATTTAAGCTTCCAGCAATAGGGATATCTATTGATGACCACTCTCAGTATAAAATTACTGTGATATTTTCTTCCTCTATTCTACTATGTTGAAATTAAAAACAAAGAAACTATGCTACATGCACATTTGCCAGTCACATTGAGAAAGCCCCAAGCTTACTTAAAGTTTCTCCCACCCACAAATGAACTATAAAAGCAGATATAAAATGCGATTCCAGGAGAAAACTGTTTTGCTTCAAACATGTAGAACTTTACTCAAAAGATATACTATTTACTCAAAAAACCAATTACAATGCTATAGTGCAACAAATTTTATTCAGGTTCATCCAAGTTTGAGGATGCAGGTGGGACTGTTTTTTTACCTTCTTGCAATGACAGACTCCATTATGAAAAGTGTAAATTGAAGACTTCTGTCATTCAGTATCTGAAAAATTGATCTAAAGAAAATTTTCAATTATGAAAAAATCAAGTCAGCAAAAAATGTTTAGTTTTCTCTACCATTAGGTGGTATAATTTCAAATCTAATCACCTGCATGTGCAGAAAAGAAAATGATACAATTCCTCAAGGGAACTTCCATATGATGAAATAGCATCAAGCAGTTCATTTCATCATGAAATTGCAGTCTTGGAATCTGGTGCAAAAGTTAATGGTTATGTTAGAGTTCATGAAGCCACTGAGATGTGGCTTCATGAACTGAGCTGTGGCTTCAGAGAAGCAGGATGCTGACCTTTGAAAGCATTGTTCTCAATGGAGAACATGTTGATGGATAGAAGCTGGAGGATGCGTGTCTCACTGATGGGCAGTGGAGAATATGCAAGGAGACGGTCAAAATCCATCAGCATCTCTCGTGCACTCTCTGCTAAGTTCCCCATACTATTCAGAATTGAAAAAATAATCAACATCCCCAGCAAAATTTCTAAATTAAGTCTGTATGATGTCAGGGAAGAAGGCAGACTCACTTTATTTTCAGGTACAGTTTAGCATGGACATGCATATAGCCTTGAACAAACTTCCGGTTCATCTGTAAAACAAAACATGAGAGCTAGTTAAAATGGGACTAAGTTCAATATGTCACACTTCACTAAATCAAAATAGGCAAATTTTCAAAACATCCTTGATACACAAATCGATGGTACCAATTAAGATGCACAATTGCACCATAGTTGGAAGACTGCACATTTTTCAAAATCAACATTATCCTGATTTTGAAAGGCATTTACCAATCACCATCAGCATCTACAGTTCTAAGGAAAAACTCATGAGGATCCTCACATACAACCACATTGGCAGTGCTACAATATGGCACCTGTTCCTTTAACTAAACATATTTCCCAAAGTTGAGACATTATTTCCATTAGTGTGAATGTATGCTCCTGTGGAGCATATATTTACACTTAAAGCACCAAAACCCACCCATCAAACAATTTTAGAATCATCTCATTGATATTCATACAAGATTTTTGGTGGGATCTTATATTTTCCCATGGTCCCTATAGATTACCAATACCTGGCTCCTCTTGATTCTTAGAAAATTCTATGATTGTAGACTTTGTCATATTAAAATTCTACAACATTTAATGTCAGCGCATTTCCCTTGTGGATGACTTCCTAGGGGAAATCTGATAATGAGACTTTTCAGTTGTCTTCATTGCAACATAGTTCAACTGAACTACATCCAAAATTTATTTATATTCTAACCCACAGGAATTTAATCTGCACATTCATTTTCCTTCTGACTCTGGAATGCAAAGCTACACATTGAGTTAAGCTTTAGATCAAGTCTAACATGGCCTGGAATAGAATCTTCTTTTGTTGACAAGAGAGAGCCAGGACATAATGAGACTTTCTCATCAATTAGAAGTGGAATCTCAAATTTGTTCCCAGTCTACCCTAAATGTTCAATTATTTTTCAAACATACATCAGATGGAGGAATGGGAGGAGAAGAGTCTTCAGAGGGAAGAGGGATGCGACTCTCCTTGCTTCCAATGTCAGGACGGACCCAGACCTCGCGATGCTTCTTGAGCTTTCGTCTCCTTTTTTCCTCCTCCTCTTCCTCCTTCCGATGACTTGCCTCCTTCTCCTTCTTCCCAGCCTCCCACTGCAAATGGCAACACAACTTAGCTCCAACAGCTAGACATCATCATACAAAGACCATGGGTCAGCAGGTAAGCATGACCGGCATGAGCAGCATGGTAAGCAGACCTTGATGCGTGCCTCATCAAACAAGGAAAGCAGGCTCTCTTTGGCAGAGTGGAATGGATTTGAGATGAGGAGGCTTCTCACATAATAGTAGATTGCATCCAACTTCCTTCTCTGCAATTAAAAAAAAAATTAAACCAAGATTACACCAACTGCAAAAAAAAAACTAAAAAAACATTACTTGCAATACACTAAGACCATAAGCAGGCACTGAGGAAAACATGCAACATTGACCACAATTAGGAAAATCAGCTCTTGAATTCACTAAAATGACAACTACTCATAGTGAAAATATCATCAACCATGCTCAAGATTTTCTGAACAGAATTGAGTGCCCATTTGCAACAACCAGGATATGAGCCTTTTCCAGTTTTGCTATCATTCTAAAACAAAATTGTGATTCCACTCCAAACACAAACCCAATGCAGTCTGGTGAAATTTTCATATATTTGTCACAAAGCAGCAATTAAACAAATCAATATTCTAGACTATGATCAAAGCTCAAATCTTCAAAGCCAGTTATATCCAAACTAATCCATTGCTACTTACCTGGTTGCTGCATAAGAGTACACAATTGTCTTTGTAATGCACATCCAGGAAAAACATGAAAAAGTTGCACAGAAACTGTCAAGTGCAGTAGTTGGCCTTGCAAAGGTATTGTACTCACAAAAATTGACATAATTAGACTGCCATTAATAGTGGGCTTATCCTGTAGCATGGGTGGGAGCTTCACCCTGGGGTAAGGAAACTGACATCCATGAGCCCCAATGCACATTTTCTGCATGAAATACCACAATTTCTAAAGAAAGCTGAAGCCTGTGCTGTTTATCAGGTGCAACCAGATTGAAGCAGAAAAAAGGCTTCCATCAGAGGAAAGAGATTTTCATTGACCACCCAGAACTCTCAAATGCTGTAGAAAGATCTAGGCTACAATGTCAGGAGGGCTGCACAAGGAAGTGAGTTTCAAGGGACAAGATGGGAACCAAGGCACCTACACCAAGGGGCATCAAGTCAACATAGAATACGGAACCACTCCAGCATCACTCCAAACCAAGGCAAAATCCAGAGTTCTTGTTTCAATGACACCCTGAACTTAAAAAATTCACAAGAGAAAAGGAACTGAATTTCATTCATACATGCTCTATATTAACAAACTTTTTCCATTTTACTGTTTTTCTCCCGTTTTTTTATTGGATGATTTCTCTATCACAATGTCCACTGGTATAGTATTAAGTAGCAGAAATACAAGTAACAAAATACTAACTTCTCAGCATTAGACTCCATACACTGTTTCAAACTTAAAACAGAAATAAATATACTTTCAACACCTTTTATCACAAACTTTTCTTCAGATTTTCAAAAAGTAAGCTCACTCACACCAAAAATTTTCAGGAGATTCAATATAAATGACAATTCTACAAGTGTTTTCAAAGCAAAACTGATGAAGAATGCTCCATTCCAGACACAACAAAACTGCACTCTGAACGTGAGGAAAAGACCAAAAATCAAAGCACAGTGAGTGAAAATTAAGCAAGATAGAGAGGAAAAGCAAGAAAGATTCAAGCAGGTGGGGGCAGAGCCTGTTTCCATTCACTTAAGCAGACTAGGATCTCACATTCAGGCAAGAGATGACAGCCAGCTGGTTGTATGGTCTGCCGTTCTTTGCATTCAGCATCATCGCCTTTGTGTACCATCTGTATAGGGGATGGGAATCAAGGATACCATCATGACACGCACATCATATTAGCACTTTCATGACCTACACAGGGGTGGTTCAGTTCTTGCAAGAGTTTTGGCAAAAAGCAGGTAATTAAGCAGAGAAGCAAACATGAAAAATTAAGACCAACAATTTTATTATATTAACTGGTCAATTATGCATAGTTTCAACTGCAATTTAAAAAATCAAAATTATTCCAATTTTACTTTGCCTCCATTCCCTCTCTGATAAATGTTTTTCTCTTCCAACTTCTCTGCATAGTGAGCTGATTAGCAAAGGAAATAAACTTGAAGGCTAAATGAATGCAATCAAATGAAATGAGGACTTCTAGAAGGTAATCATTTCTGCACAATACTCCAATCAGCAAAGAGAATATTTACCCAAGTTTTCTTAGAAAAGAGAATCATAATGAAGGCAACACTGGATATAACACAAAAAAGCAAGGTGAGGACATGGGGGGAAAAATCTTTAATTGTCTCTCAGCCACTCTCACTGCAGAATCCAAGAGTAAAAATAAATTTGATTAATTCAGGGATGTTAAACTTGATTTGGCTGAGAGTCATATGGTTAAGGGGTAGTTGGAAGCCTCAGCAACAAATATCACTCCACATTTTTAATGCAAGCAATTTGAAATTTGCAGCAATATTCCAAAACCTATTGTTGAAGAGGGCTTTACAGACCAGACAAAATGGACTGGTGGGCCAGATCCAGACTGCAGGCTGCCCCTGGAGTAATTAATCAAAATATTAATCAGACAATGGCTATCAGAATAGCTCAAATTTATAAAGGCAAACTATTTCTGTCCAATAATGGGAATCATATTATGATGGGTTGGTAAAAGTTCATTTGCAAACAATATTCTGCCTCAGCATAATAATGTCTCCCTACTTTCATAAATGAGAACTTACTCTTTGGCTTCAGTGAAATGAGATGAGGTGGAGGAAGATTGGGTATTGGGGAAGAGTTGCTCTTTGTATCGAGCCAGATCCCCAAGACAAATGAAGAATTTCTGCGCAGAAAGGAGGACAAGTGGGAGGAGCCCTGAACGGGGTAATGCTTGTTTCTCTGGCATCATGTATTCATCCAGCTTCACATGGTACACCTGTTGCAGCATGTTCAACAGCTGTGTGAAATACTGCTCACCCTGCATAAAAAGAAAAGAGTGGCAGCATAAACCAGGTATGTATTTCATCATCATTGCTTCTGCAGTAATGAGGAATAAGAGTCCAAGGCTAACTGCCTGGAAAGGACCTGATAATAAAAATTCATATAAAGAGATGAGTCCAGTTCTAATAGCTTCTTCACAGAAGGATCAAATGCAAGGAGATAACATATATAACTTCTTTTTTATTTATCCCTTTCTTGACTGATTATTGCTCAGGCAATTGTTACAGACATGGACAGCTTTCTTAGTTGGGAAATAATTGTTGAGTAAAATTCTCAAAAAGTGGACATGATGTGAAACATTTTGAAGGTACTAGTACATGTAAGATGTTCTGTTGGTCATGGTTAATCACAATGACCAAATTCCCTCACCTCCTGAATGATAGCCATGACAATGGTGCGGAGTGGGGAGTCAGGTCGTTGATCCCCCATCGTCAGCTGGGGTCGCACCCATTCGATAATTTGATAAAACAGCATCTTCCACAGGGTGTGCTCAACATTCTTCACTTCACAAAACTTCAGGTCCAGGCTAAGGATCTTCTCAAACACCTTGTACATATAATGCCTACAAATATTACACAAATACATTGAAATTGAATGGTTCAAAACTCATGCAAATCACACTTCATATGACAAATGACCAATATATCTGATTGGAAAGAAAGTTCTCGGAATTTCATGAACAATTATTACAACCCAGTTTATTTCAAAGCAAAATCATCTCAATCATGAATGTAATCACCATTGGTCTCTATCACTTCACGCCAACGTTTATGCAAACTATGGATGCCATTCCAATAGAACTCTGGCAGCTGCGCTACGAAAAAGTTGGCCAAATCGGTTTTCAGGTCGTCTCGGTTGGCGTACTGCTTTCCACCCATGTGACGGTCCAGGGCAACGAAAAGGTGATAATCGGACGGGGCAAGGTCGGGGCTGTAGGGCGGATGCGGCAGCACCTCCCAGCACAGGTCCAGTAACTTTAGATGAGTCTGTCTAGCGGTGTGCGGCCGGGCATCGTCGTGGAGGAGGATGGTTCTCTGTCTTTCTGGGCGTGTTTCAGCCAGTTTCTGCTGCAGCCGATCGAGTTGCTGGCAGTAGTAGGCAGCAGTGATGGTGGTGTTTTGCGGCAACAGCTCAAACATGATGATGCCTTTCGAATCCCAGAAGACCGAGAGCATAATCTTTTTGGGGTGCAACTCCTGACGGGGTTCTCTTTCGGCCGATGCTCCGGCGTCCACCCACTGACGTTTTCGTCGAATGTTGGCATAGAAGGTCCACTTTTCGTCGCCTGTCACCACTGAGTCTAGCCAATCCGTTCGGCGCGAACGTGACAGAAGGGAGATGGCCATGTCTACTCGTCGCTGGCGGTCCCGATCATCCAGCTTGTGGGGTACCCAGCACCCCAACTTTGCCTTCTTGCCAAGCTCAGCCAGATGATGAAGGATAGTTGTATGGGAGACACCCAGCAAGTCCGCAAGCTCTCGCGATGTTTGCCGGTTGTTGGCCTCCAGTGCCTCCTGCAAGGCAGAGTTATCAAACTCTGAAGGACGACCGGTGCGTGGCTGGTCTTCCAGGCTTTCATTTCCTTTCTGGAAGCGACTGTACCAATCATAGGCAGTGCTCTTGGACGCAGTGTCCGGGCCAAACGCAGTATTGACGTCAGCGATGGAATTGGCTGCCTTCTTCTCGATTCGGAAGTCATAAAGAAGAAGCAGGCGAACTTGCTCCTTAGTAAGAGGGTAGGGCTGGTTCATGGCTGGAGAGCACCAGGGCTGTAATAATATATGGTTGTATGCCGAAGGACACGACCTACTTATAAACACACGCAGAACATTCTAGCATGCTCTGGAAAAAAATTGTACTGGATATTCAAGAAATTCCGAGAACTTTCTTTCCAATCAGATAATCTGTCATTTGTTAGCAATTGAGAAAAACCTGGAGAGCTTTGTACCATACCTTATAGCCTGAACCCGCTCCCATTCAGGCAAAAGACGACTGGTTCCAATAAGAAACTGAATCTCTGCATCTCCATGAGTCACCTGCTGGATAAGGCTTGGGGGAATCCTGCGTGGCTCCCTGTTAATTATATTAACTTCACAGTAAACAATCATAAAAGAAAGTTCATAGTTGATAGTTCAAGTTACTTTAGATTTAGCTTATTTATCTTTACTATATACTAAACCCATTCCCTAAAATTTTAAAAATTAGTAAAGCTTGGCATAAATATATAAAAAGCTGAATTGTTCATAACTTAGAACAAACATTAAAACTTCATGTTTGCTACAAGTTATGAACAATTGACGATGCATAATTTTGCACAGCACCCATGTTGCACAACTCCACTCCTAGTTCCTTGACTTGCCAGGGGGGCTTCAACCCCAGTGTTTTAAGTAACAATTATTCAGTCTTACAGCAAAGCCCAAGTAATTACATTGAAACTCTCACACTCTCACAAATCAAAAGTAAATCAAGGAAAAGGAGTTTCAGGACTTTTTCTACATTTACCAAATTTTGAATGCTATTCACAGGTTGCACAAACTGCCACAGCTTTCCATTAAAAAATTTGGAAATACCCTCATGCACTCAAAACTAATTTCTAGTCAATTTATTCTGCCAATTTTAAAAAGTCTGGAAAACAATTGAATTGTAAAAAATAAATAATAGAGTGCACTTCATTGGAAAAGTCAGGAAATTTTTCCTGGCAATTATATAATTATGTCTTGTTGCAGCCATATCCTGCATCCTTTTTAGCAACAGTTCCTTTCTCAAGACTTTCCAAAAATCAGACAACAATAGACAACTGTCTGTTTTCTATCTCTGCTATTTCAAAGCACAGGACAGAACCATTAGGTCATAACTGCTTGTAACAGGCACAGGTTACACCAAGTTGACAGGCTTGAGTGAAGAATCCAAAGGGAAAGACTGCAGTGCAGTTGTTGAGTTACCTATACTACATGACCTAACAGCACATTAACATGCTTAATCCTGTAAGTACCCATTAAATATTTTTTAATATTTTACCCACTGGGCTCATTGGCCCCAGTATCCAACTTATACAATACAGGAATGCAAAAAATACAAAAATATTGTAAAATACACATAATTACAGTTTATAGGTTCCTGTTGATGGGCAAATGCCAGAAATGTTTATGGAGCAGCCTATACAACTGGTTAAATTTTTTATCATGGTACATTGGACCCAGTAGAAGGTACTTCCAGGGTCAAATGTGAGGGATTTTGGCTTGGGTATGGAAGAGAACTTTCTAAACTTGCTTCCACTCCAATGCTTGATTGATGGGGCAGTTTCTAATGCATGGAAAACAGCAATGGCCAGCTACTGAATCAACTTTTCCCCTATTTTGGACCTTTCAGATGAGGTATCAGAGGCTTTAAAAGATTTCAAGGGCAGTGGCAGTGCTAGTGAACTCATACATTTCAACCTAGCAGGTCCATAGCAAAATATGAATGCATGGAAAAGTTACCTGTCAGGAAACTTCTCAGAGACAGTGCCCTCCATAAGATTGGGTTGAAGAAATGGTGAAGAAGCAAATCCACTCTGCTCCACCATTACAGCTTTTGCTGGCTCCAATGGAGGATAGGACGGATCATTCCGCTCAGCCTCCTCGCTCCAATCCAGCCTGGATCTTGGGCTTTGTGGAAGCATGTGGATTTCTGGTAGCCAATTTTGGGAGTCTGAAGGTTTCTTTTTTCCATCTTGAGATCGTTTGTGTTGGAATGTCTCTCCATTGTTCATGGACAGGTTTCTGTTGAATTAGATATCCATGGTTACAAATCAGCTTAATGTTCCAATGAAAACAGGATGATAGAAATAAAAATATTCATATCCATAGCAATTGAAGACTAAAAGGCATTGAGGTCAAATCATTATCATGGTTCTGTGCTGTGACTGATGGTTTTTCTAAATGACTTCATATGCAAAAATGAACCTTTTTTTCTCCCCCTTAACACCCAGGGGGAGCAGAACATAAAGCCAATAATAATAATAAATTAAAATCTTAATGCCTTCCCTTCATCATAGAATGAGGAAATTTCACATCAACATGGTCAAAGGTTCAAAGTTTTTTGTGGCATTTGTTCAAAATAAAGACCATTAGTGATTTAGTGGCCTCTTGATGGTGCATTGAATTTTACCTCAAAATGTGCTTTGTTGCTGAGTGAAATATGGCAAATTTGCCCTCTAAGAAGTTTGTGATAGAGATTTTCTTGTTGCTTGGTGGCTCCAGCATCAAAGTAGGTCATGCCATAGCTCAAGATCCTCATTTGCAAAGTGTGCCTCCTTCCCAAATTAAAAAGATATGGGACTACTTTCAAATGACACCTGGATCAGTGACTGTGGCACAATGTCAACTAAGAGCAACCCCAGTCAGTTCAGATTCCTCCCATGATTCAAGTTGTTTGATATAGGATGGAAGGTACCAGTGAGCCTCATCAAAGGACAGCTCAAGCCATAGGAATTATTGCCAGGAGTGTCTGGAAAATAATCAGGCAACAACTCAGCACTCATAAGCGGCAATAAGTGAGTGTGCTTATGAGTGCTTAGTTGTTTTGCCATGTGGTGCAGAGTAGAGCTTGCTTGCACCATCAGTCTATTATTTTTCTTGTTTGAAAACACCAGAAAAATCTTCAATATTCTTCTCAGATAGGCAGCACCATCTTGCACTTAGATAATAAAAAAGTGCATATTTCTATCAATTATGCCACATAAAAATCTGATGTTTTATGCAATATAAGCAAGTTTACATAATTAAGAATCAAAGGTTTGCTTTCCTCCTTTGCTCTTCTCTTCAGCAATTCTATGAACAATTTCAATTGGAAGCAAAATACAGCCATGAACAGTATCTAACAAACAAATAATAATAATATAGAGTAATATTATTAACAAACCTATTTAAGTAAGGAATTCATTTAGCAAAAAATCCTTTGGTAAATTAAATTAATTGGCCACCCTGTAGGTGTAATTTCATGATTCTACAATGAAGGGAAGGGATCAAGATTTTCTTTTTTTGCCCTTTGTGCTGCTGCCCCCCCCCCCCCCCCCCCCCCCCCCGGGG